AAGCTGAGCTTCCCTTGCAGTCTTAGAGCAATCGCTTCTTTTTTTCGCCTCAGAATTTCTTCCCTCTCACATTTTTCTGCTTTTTTTTTTTTTTTAATAAATCCTACTTCACCGATTTCACTTCTCACGGGTTCTTTTTGAAACATAACCCCCTCGATAAACGAGGGATTACTGTATTCTTTGAAGGCTTTAATATTAATCTTTTGCTATGAAAATGCTTTGACTTTAGCGGTTAGCACATCATCATAGCCAAGAATGCAGTTGCACTGATATCATAAAGTGTCTTAAATAATACAGTATAAAGTCACCAAATATGAAATAAACACTAAAACATTGTGCTTTATATCATGAATATTTCATGTCAGTACCACTTTTGACTCATCTACCACTAAAAATGTGCAATGTCAGACCCTGTATGTGTCTTTATGCAAACAATTATGGGAAAAAAAAATCTAATAATGTATTAGTTAAAAAAAAGCCACCACCAATAAATGATTCTGCTCATTTATTCACATAATGAGTGGTAATCTGAATTTATGTGGCTCTCCCAATGACCTTCATTGTAAATATAAACCATAATTCCATGTGTGTTTGTCTTTTTGTGTCTTTCAGTCATCAGCGAAGATTTGTGTCCTGAGCGGCAGGATGCAGAGCCCTCTGATATTAAAACGGAAGAAGAAAAGAAAGAGGTCTCCCACTTTAAAGAGGAAGAGGAGCAGGAGGCTCATTACATTAAAACAGAGGAGGAGCCACTGCACCCTTGCATGAAATTGGAGGTGGATGATCCCCCCTACATCAAAGAAGAGGAGGAGGGGGTTTTCTGGAAGTTGCCATTGACTGGTGTCGCCCTGAAGAGGAGAAATGAGGCAGACACAGGGGTGCAGTATCCAAGCAGCAGCTCATGTCAACACATGACAACACAAGGTGTTGGAAACCAATGGGGAGGATCAAAAACAGATGGCCTATTAGCTCCACTATCAGATCGTGACATATTGTCAAACGCTGATGATGATGATGAGAATGAAGATAAAGTGTCTGATGGTGATCTGACATGTCACACTGACAAGAAACCCTGGAAATGTTCTTGGTGTGGCAAAACGTTTACTTATAAGAGTCATTTGAAATTACACACAATAACCCACACAGGAGATAAACCTTTTTCATGCTTAGTTTGTGCTCGAAGATTCTCTCGGAAGGAAAGTTTAAAAAAACACACAAGAACACACACTGGTGAGAAATCTTTTGCTTGTTCAGATTGTGGCGAAAGATTCTCTCAAAAGGGAGAGTTCAAAAAGCACGCAAGAACCCACACTGATGGGAAACCGTTTGCCTGCTCAGATTGTGGCCAAAGATTCTCTTACAAGGGACACTTTGTAAATCACACAAGAACCCACACTGGTGAGAAACCTTTTGCCTGCTTAGTTTGTGGACAAAGATTCTCTCAGAAGGGAACCTTAAAAGTACACTCAAGAACCCACACTGGTGAGAAACCTTTTACGTGCTCAGTTTGTGGCCAAAGATTCTCTCGGAAGGAAAGCTTAAAAATACACACAAGAACCCACACTGGTGAGAAACCGTTTGCTTGCTCAGATTGTGGCAAAAGATTCTTTCGGAAGGGAGACTTTAAAAAGCACGTAAGAACCCACACTGGTGAGAAGCCTTTCACCTGCTCAGATTGTGGCCAGAGATTCTCTCAGAAAGGAGTCTTAAAAAGGCATGTAAGAACTCACACTGGTGAGAAACCTTTTGTCTGCTTAGTTTGTGGCCAAAGATTCTCTCGCAAGGGAGATTTAAAAAAGCACATAAGTACCCATACTGGTGATAAACCTTTTGTCTGTTCTGACTGTGGCCAGAAATTCTCTCGTAAGGGAACCTTAACAAGACACAAAAGAACCCACACTGGTGAGAAACCGTTTTCCTGCTCAGTTTGTGGCCAAAGATTCTCTCAGAAAGGAGTCTTAAAAACGCATGTAAGAACCCACACTGGTGAGAAACCTTTTTCATGCTCAGTTTGTGGACAAAAATTCTCTCAGAAGGGAACCTTAAAAATGCACACATGGACACACACTGGTGAGAAACACTTTTCCTGCTCAGTTTGTGGCCGAAGATTCTCGTGGAAGTATCAGATTAAGAATCACGTGTGTTGATGAGATGAACAGTTTACACCTCTCATCTGAGCAGGCTTCATGATTTCATGCCCCAACACTGATTGTATTTTATGTACCTTCTTAATGCTGAAGTTTTCTTTTCCTTGACTGCAGTGAAAGGTTTTGTTATTGTCATGAATTAAAAAATCTAGCATTGTTATCACCATTATCATAGTTTTGGATTCTTCATTACAGTTAGTTTTTATTTGGTTTTGAGTTGTGGTTTTTAAATGTAGTTTGTTTTAATTAGTTCTCAGAGGAGGTTTGGTCGTTTGTATTAGTTTTTTGCTTTGTATTGTTTTGTTTTTTCAAAATTGAACTGTCCAAAACTCTATAGAACCCCACATATTGAGAAATGTGTTTCATTATTTCTTATTGGAAGCCATCCTGAATAAAATGGACATTTTCCACTTTTTCATGAAATGCATGATGTACCCATATGTATTTGTGTTTGATATTGTGTGTTGCTTGCTGGCCAATAAAGTTCTCTTTGCTCAAAAAGCTTGTATCAGCCGAGGCTTCTTCAATATCACTCGTCACAATTGGGAGTCAGATTTACAGTGGTGTGAAAAAGTGTTTGCCCCCTTCCCGATTTCTTATTTTTTTACATGTTTGTCACACTTAAATATTTCAGATCATCAAACAAATTTAAATATTAGTCAAAGATACCAAAAGTAAACACATAATGTAGTTTCTAAAGGAAGGTCTTTCTTATTAAAGGAGGAAAAAAATCCAAACCTACATGGCCCTGTGTGGATAAGTGTTTCCCCCCACGCCCCGTTAAAACATATCTTTATCATACCTGAGTTCAATTTCTCGAGCCACACCCAGGCTTGATTACTGCCACACTACAAGAACTCATTTAATGTCCGCATGCTGTCCTCAGTTACGTCTGACTGCAACACTTATCGGCACAACATTAATCCGTCAAGCGGAGTACTCATCGAAGTCACACAACAACAGTCACAGATTTTGGAACTCGGTGTATATCCAAGGCGACCCGCGTTATTAGGCACCTCATTCGTCCGCTTGTATCCAGGATCTGATTCTTTCAGTCAAGACCCATAACACATGACGTTGCGTGAGGGTGGGAAAATAGATCGACTGGTAAATCGAGAGCTTTGCCTTTTGGCTCAGCGACTTCTTCACCATGACAGACTGATTCAAGGTCCACATCACAGAAGAGCTACAATGATCCACCTGTTGTTCTCCTGCTCCATTCTTCCTCGTGAACAAGACCCCAAGACACTTAAACTCCTCCACTTGGGGTTAAAATCTCATCCCCAACCAAGGGAGGGCACTCCACCCTTTTCAGACTGAGGACCATTGTTTTAAATTTGGAGGTGCTGATTTTCATCAATTGCTTCACACCCGGGTGTGAACCGCTCCAGTGAGAGTTGGAAAGCCCTGCTTGAAGAAGCCAACATTACCACATCATCTGCAAAAAGCAGAGATGCAATACTGAGGCCACCAACCCTTGAACGCCTTGGCTGTGCCTAGAAATTCTGTCCTTAAACTTTATGAACAGAACCTGTCACAAACGGCACCCATGGTGCAGTCCAACCCTCACTGGAAAGGAATCCGATTTACTGCCGGCAATGCGAACCAAACTCTGACATCGGTGGTATAGGGACCAAACAACTTATGTCAGGGCGTTCGGGACCCCATACCCCGGAAGCACACACCCCTGCCCCCACAGAACTCGCAGAGGGGCACAGTCAAACGCCTTCTCCAAGTCCACAAACCACATGTCGACTGGTTGGGTGAAATCCCATGCACCCCCAAGGACTCTGTCAAGGGTGTAGAGCTGATCCACTGTTCCACTGACGGGACGAAAACCACACGGATGCTCCTGAGTCTGAGACTCGACTTCCCAACAGACCCCACTCGAGTACCCCTGAATCAAACTTAGCAGGGAGGCTGAGGGTGTGTTCAGACAACACAGGGATCACCCTCTTTCATCTGAACACAACCTCCAGTCCCTCCTTCTTAAAAAGAAGGACGACCACCCTGGTTTGCCAATCCGGAGACACTGTCCCTGAAGACCATGCGATGTTTCAAAGGCGTGTCAACCAGGACAGCCGCACAGCATCCAAAGCCTTGAGGCACTCTGGGCAGATCTCATCCACCTTTGCCACCAAAGAGGTTTTTAACCATCTCGGCAATTTCAACCACAGAGACAGGAGAACCCACCTCAGAGTCCCAAGTCTGTGCTTCGTTATAGGAAGGTGTGTTGGTGGAGGTGGGGTCCTTGAAGGATTCTGCCCCGAGTCATGTGCCCCATCCCCACTGTACACAGTGTTAATGGTATGCTGCTACCACCTCCTGAGACGTTGCATAGTGGACCAGAATTTCCTCGAAGCTGTTCCGAAGTCGGCTTCGATGGCCTCGCCGAACTCCTCTCGTGCTCGAGTTTTTGCCTCGGTGACCACCGAGACTGCGCTCCGCTTGGCGAGTCAGTAACCACAAGCTGCCCCAGGGGTTCCACAGGTCAAAAACGTCTGATTGGATTCCTTCTTCAGATTGAACGGCATCCCTTACTGCCAGCGGGTTTGGGGGTTGCCACTACGACCAGCACCCGCCACCTTACGGCCATAACTCCGATCAGCCGCTTCAACAATAGGGACATGTGGAACGTGGTCCATTTGGACTGAATGTCCTCTGCCTCCCCGGGACGTGGGAAAAGCTTTGCCGGAGGTGGGAGTTGAAACTCCTGACAGCTTTAATATAACTGTTAAATTTGATCCACACATGAAAATTGCAACATGACAATTGACATTACCAAACTCTGTTTATTTTTGCTTTGCAGATGTCATTGAGGCCCGATAGTCGAGTGGTTAGCACGTTGACGTCATAGTGCAGAGGTTCAATTCCAGCTCCGGCCTTCCTGTGTGGAGTTTGCATGTTCTCCCCGTGCTTGCGTGGGTTTTCTCCGCGTCCTCCGATTTCCTCCCACATTCCAAAAAAATGCATGGCAGGCTGATTGAACACTACAAATTGTCCCTAGGTGTGAGTGTGAGCGCAAATGGTTGTTCATTTCTGTGTGCCCTGCGACTGGCCCCGAACCGGTTCAGGATGTCCCCCGCCTACTGCCAGAAGACAGCTGGGATAGGCTCCAGCACCCCCCGCGACCCTAGTGAGGATGAAGCTGTTCGGAAAATGAATGAATGAATGAAAGATGACATTGAGGATCTTGGTTCTAAGCAGCTGGAGGCAAAGTGCCTTTGCCTTAAACAAGCGTTGCCAGAATCCTCTCACACTGAAGAAGACCATGAGCCAGTTGATCCTCACGTTAAAGAGGAAGAGCAGCAACAACTCCAGTACATCAAAAAGGAAGAGCCCCCATCTATCAAAAAGGAAGAGGAGTATTCTATACGTCTCATGCCATCAACTGGTATCCATTTGAAGAGTGAAGAAAGCAGAAGTGTGGAGGCTCCAATTAGTTGCAGCTGTTCCAGTGGACACATAACAACAGAAGATGATGGTGACTGTTGTGGAGGATCACTGGTGGACGGCCTCCTCCCTCCACTGTCAGAATGTGAGGACATTCCGTCACACTCTCCTCACACAGATTATGATAATGATTATGCTGATAAACAATCTGGAGGTGATCTGTCATATCACGCTGACAAGAGACACTATAAATGTTCAAGTCAAGTCAGCTTTTATTGTCAAATATGCTCTATGTGTAACAGACAGCACAGATGAAATTACTTTCCTCTGTCAACCACAGTGCAAACATGTAATGCACTGAACACACACAGCTAAAATTTACGTAAAAATTCCATAAGACATAAATATCTAAATATGTTAAATAAAAATAAATAAACAAATAGCAACAACAGACAACCAAGGGCACTTGTGATTATTGTATATTTGTAGTTACTTGTTTTAAGTGCAATAATCGGATGTCAGATGCTGGGGGAGGGACACCGATTGTGGCAGGAGGCGGGGGGTGGGGGGGAGTGCGGGCAGAACATGGAGGGAGTTTAGTCTCCTGATCGCCTGGTCGAATAAACTGTTCTTGAGCCTGGTGGATTTAGCAGAGAGACATCGCAGCTTCCTCCCCGACGGCAGCACGCCGAAGAGGCTGTGAGACGGGTGGGTGGGGTCACCTGCGATCTCGCTGGCTTGGCGGGTCAGACGAGAGTTGTAAGTGCCCGCGAGTGGAGGAAGAGAGACACCAATGATCTTCTCAGCCGCTCTCACAATGCGCTGCAGACTCTTTCTACAGGACACGGTGCAAGTGGC